TTGATATACTGGCTTGGCACTTATTATGCCAAAACCCCAAAAAAGTTTGCCAAATCTGTCACACTAACTAAAATCACATGAGCTGAGCTCTGTTACACTCTTTTGGAGTTCGAAGATAATTACTGCATCTCAAAGTTATTGGGCAGGAAGGCAGGCAAAGGTATTCCTTTATAGGAGGAGGGCAGGTAGGCTGCTGCAAAAAGTAAGTGTCACACTGCCGTTGGCTAAAGCTTTGAACCCAGCACTGTTTCCATGGCATTTGCATCTTGGAAACTCCAGTTTACAAAAGGTTGAGGAGGGATGGGAGAGAACAACAGAATTTACAGAAGTTGGCTTACTGCTCTATGTGGAGAAAAATCTAGTGGCTTCCCAAGCAGGGTTAGAAGTCTTCCTGAGAAGGGATGCATGTACTTTCCTACTAAGTTGTTAAGTAGGACATGCTTGGATTGACTCTATGTGTAGATGACCAAAAAAAGTTTGGTTGCTTTGTAAATGAGAAGGAGGGAACAAAGTTTTATAAGAAGTCTCTAGCACCTTTTTCATGCCAATAGATGACTTGAAATGAAATGAAATGGCAGAAGAGCAGAACCACTGGGACAAAACTGTGTTTGAAATGACAAGAGCAAAAGAGGTGGGAAGCTCTGTCATGCGCTCAGTAGCAGCATCTCACATCATCTGGGTCAAACTAGGTCATTTCTCATGAGTTTGGAGTTGGAAATTAATTCTAAACTCAGCTCTGTTACTTGATTTCTTTGCTTTGTCCTTGTCTTTGTGGCTTCCATATACTGCTGCAGAGCCTGGTCCTGAGAAGAGTAGGAACAGTGAGACAGCATAGGGTTGGGCTGTTAGTTAACAGTAAGTTGAGAAATCTTCCCAACTGTTAAATGTATGGGGGTTTTTGTTTTGGTTTTTGTGATTCATACACAGCTCATAAAACCAGCAGTTCTTTCCTCTGACACTGGAAGCCTTAATCTTTTGGTTCATCTTTTCAACAGGAAAGCATATGTAAATAGTGATATACACTGTTTTCTGATTTACACTCCAAGTTTGTCCATTTCTGTAATTTGTCAAGCTATTCTCCACTCAGTGAATGCCTGGATAGCAGCCACAACGGGTTTGCTTGAATTCTTTCAGTTGCTAAAAATAAGTTGGTTTTGGAGTTGTTTTTTATAACCACTGAGGATATTTGAAGCAATAATAGGTGACTGTCAGCCTATATTATAAATTGTTTTCATGCAACACCACATTCCCAGCCCTTGGCAGGGAGGGAAAAAGATCTGTGCAGTATGGTAGAAAGTATCCAGTCCACTACTAGCTTGTCTTCTGCTAGAAGAAGCAGAAGACAAGGCTCTGCACCCACATGGGGCATACAGCTCCCTGTGAGATAGTTTGGAAAATATGTTGTCAGATGTACTAGAAGGCATTTGATTTAAATCACCTTAGTAACATTCTGTCCTAACATTTTGTCTTTGGTCCTTCAAACCAACAGCTATAGATACTACTTTTTATAGTATAACTGTATGATGTGCTTCTAGAAGCTGGTGTGTGTATATATATATATATATATTTTTTTTTTTTTTTTTTTTCCCCTGCAGATTTCCTTTGCTTTACTGTCCTTTTTTCACATAGTTACTTGGCTTTTGGCTTCCTTTCTCATACCCTTGCCCAATCCTTGGGGTTTTTTTCTTCTTTTTTTTTTTGTCAATATTCATTCAGAAATAAATCAATGTTTTACAGCATTTCAAGGGATATTATCATAGAAGCCCCTTCTGTGTCAGTTTGCACGAATGGGTTGAACAGGTACTTAAGTTTGTGGATGTAGCAATAGCTACCAGAAAACAAGTTCACAGGGAGGAAAAGTATGCACTGAGAGGGAGCAGGTGAAAGCTTCCCAGGACCAAATAAACCCTAAAAAGCAGTGATCCACTGAACATCCCAAGATTCCCATAAACTTCAAACAGCAAGTGTCTGCCAAATCCGTCCAAGGCCACCACCAGCACACACTAGCATCAATGGCAGGTTGTGTAACGACTGCATCTGAGAAAGTGGCAAGCATAGGCTCCAGGACTGTAGCCTGGTAAAGCAAGGGACGCCCTGAGGGACTTTTTGAACACCTAACTGGAAACCAGTCGCCCACCAATCTGACCCCACTGTCTGCGCTTGGCCTCCTGACTGATGCTCCAGCAGGGTGACACAAGTTATTGCAGGAGTGGAGTGTAGGAGTGGGATAACTGAATACACCATGTGAATAGTCATTGGCTATTAGTAAAATCTGCCCAGTTCTGTTAATAACATTTTCCACTAAATATTGAGCTGGTTTCCCCCAACACAATCCCCCCATCAGGGGAACAGATAGTATAATACAGGGAACTTGCAGCTATGTGTAACTTTAAAACATTGAACAAATCATAATTTCCTGTCTTGAAAAATGTATAATCCTTTTTCTTACCTGTTTCACTATGTGGGATTTTGTGAGATTCCTCTTTAAATTGTTGTTAAAGAAATTTCTTTTTTTTTCCTGTTTTAAGGTCTTTTCCATTTTCCAGATCCTCTAGATCTTTATCCTCTTGCTTTTCTACCCCTTGACCTTTTCCTATGTTAACCAGTGTGGAAGGACTAAGTTATTTAGATGTCTTTGCACATGACTCTTTAGGAGATGGGAACCTGTTCTAAAATCAGTGCAGCCTCTGTGTGTTGGGGAATTCTGAGGAATTGAATTGCACTTGCTAGTTTATGTGGAGTGGTGATATGATGCCAGTGTCTGCAGCTGAGACCTGTGCATGGCCTGGCATGTTGAAACATGGCATCCTTTCCTCCCTTATGTTTTCCTTGCACACTTTTATCCCTTCACCCTTCCAAAGAAGACTCCAGCTCCCTATCGTTACCATCCTCACACTCACTAACTAGGACCTCTACTGCATTCCTTTGTCCGCCTAAATTAAATTCCACCTTAATGATCTGGTGTTTCCTACCACTCCCTTGCCTGGGTGCTGCTCCAGCATCTCAAGCCAGAAGTACAGGTCGAGGTGTTGGCATGGATTATGGAGCAGGTGGAGACCTGGCAGTGCTGCTGCACACAGCAGCAAGTGCCAATTATCTCATCTGGCCATAGCCATCACACTGCTCCCTCTACCTCTACCTCAGATAAGTACCTGTATGCAAGCAAAAAGTCAGGAGCTGTTGCTGATATACGTACAGGTCAAACCAAAGAGGTACATCATCATCAGTTTTCAAGTTTTAGGAACCTCTGCTATGAGGACTTCTGTTTTTTTCTTTTTTAAGACTATACAAGTGAAGTTCAGTGTAGTAGTGTTATTCAAATCACTCTCAAACCAAGCTCTACATACTGAAGACAATTCAGTAGTTATCTCTCTTCAATATGCCATAAATACCACCCTCTTCAGAAAGTGCAGTGTGGAAGATGTTCAATGAGCAAACTGAGTCTTGCATTTCGAAGGGAATTGCCACATCTCTCCACTGCTGTTGCCTGTTAGAAGGTCTGGTCAACCCCTTCTGATGCAAGATTACTTCTAACCATTGTCTTAAGAGTGCCCCATCCTTACAGATTATTGGAGCAGTGCCGTTAGATCCCATCTTAAGTTCAGGGGGGCCTACTTGAGCAAAAGCCAACATACCATGATGGATATGCTGTTCCTTTGCCAATAGGATGCCTGAGGTTTGTCAGCTGTGCTGGAATCACTTTCCACATTAAACAAATGGAGGGAAAAAAAAAAAGTACATTGAAAAGCACAGCTTAAGAGGCTTGGAGAGATGCAAAGAAATGAAACAATAACATGTTTAATAGCTAATTCCCATTCTGGTTTGGCTTTAAGGTAGCTTCAGCCTTCCAGTCTGCTAGCAGTCTTGCTAAGCTCTCTGCCAGGATGAGTCACAGCTCCTGGAGCTGGGATCCAGTCCTTTAGACAAGCCATCTTTAAAGGTCTGTTTACCTTTCCTGATGATAATGAATTTGAGTGAGAATTGCTTTCTTTTCTTCCTCTTAAACCAGGGTTTATGATGAATATAAATTCACCTGTGGGAGCTTCTTGCATCCTTCAATCCTGATTCAATCCGAGCACCCCTGGTCTTCTGTTCGGTGTAGTTTCATGCTGTTATGCAGAGATAGATGCCTTTGGAATACCCCTCCCTGCTGGGCTGTCTCAACTAGTTGACTAGGAATGCAAAACAAGCAATAACCAGAGCCCTGGTCTGACTGTAAACCATTATTTACCTGCTAGGAATGATATTTCCTGCTGACTGATTAAGAAACTTAGCCACATAACCCTAGTATGTAATTTATGGCAGAAATTGAAACCCATATATGGTTGCTACTGCTTATGTTTCTGTAGCCTGTAATGTAGCACTTGAGAGAATGTATGTGACAACAAATCTAGCAATTGTAGGCAATTGCACCTAGGAACACAGAAGGCACCAGACCTTAATGTGCCTGCTACAAGTGGGCACCATCATGACTTCATTGTGAAGTAAGACACTTCAAAAGTTTACCAATGTTTTTGTGTTGTATTGGCAAAAACATAGTTGCTGGGTATCACTTTATGTCTTTGTCAATGGTAGATTTTTTTTTTCCCTCCGAAAAGCTGTTCGGGCAAGTGCAGCAAGGCCCCTGTTGCATGACACAACGGTCATAACTGATTGCCTGTGCTCAGAAGAAGCCTGGTCAGATGAAGAAACAGCAATGTGCCTGGCAATTATGAATAAACTCTGAATGTAGCACTGCATAAGGGAGCTCATAGATTTGCTACTATATCAGAGGGACATCTGATTGTTGTGCAGATGTGTAAGACACTGAACCATTGTGAATGCAGCTGAATTAGGGTTTTGTAATGAAGGACTTCTCCCCTTGTTTCATTTTTAGCATACAGCTATTGCATCACTGACCAACTGATACTGACAAAGACCATTCAGTGAGTCTTTTTTTTTTTTTTTCTCTTTCCCACTGTTTGCTTGTTGAACTAAAGGTTTTCATGTTTTCTTTTCAGTACCAAATTGCTGCAAGGAATAGTTCAAGCCGGCAACCAGGGCAAGTGTTTGGATGCTCAAAGTAAGTACATTTGTGTGTTTGTAAGTGTTACAGTACTAGCGACTGAGGAAGTACCCAAGAACTTGTGTTTGAGGTCTGTAAGGCAGTAGCTTGATACTTTTGGTATCAATAATAAGTGATATTACTTTGCAATGTTTTATTACACATCTTTGTGTAATTAATAGATTCAAGTCATCAGGAATTATTCATTCATGAAACAGAACTGATGAAAGCTAAACTAGATGCCACAGACCTTTATGAAATAATTTGGCTTTTTAACTGGAGTAAGAAGGAAATGCTGGCAGAAAGGAATTTTAAAAAAAAAAAAAAAAAAGAGAGAAAAAAAAAACAAAACCAAACAAACGGAAACCTAAAGGTGAAAAATGATTCCCCCTTTCTGTTTGGGACCTTTGAGAAATTGTATTCTTGCTTTTGTTTTGTTAAATGTTGACTCTTCACGTTAGTGCTGCCTTTCTAATGTTAAGTGGACAAAGCAAACTACACTAAATGCCACTGTACCAGGTTAATAATTAATGTCAGATAGAATTTGTAAGGCACTGTCCCTTTTTTAATCCCCAACTATAGAACTTTAAATCGCATCCCACCGAGTTAGATGTTAACCTAAACTGTCCAGCCTCTAGTTTGGCGTTTCGCGAAATCTGCACAGAGTCACCTGCAGAGAGGGGAGGGATCGATGACAGCAGGAGATAGGAGGCCCACAAGGTGGCAATGTTTGGAAAGCCTTGGAAAGGATGCTCCTGCAACAGATCTGGGCTTCCTGGGGTTGCCATCACTCCCTGCCCTTGTATCATTGCTGCTGCATCTGTGCTATTAAACAAGGAATCTTCACTATTGCCGAAATGGGGCATGGGATACCCGGTGATAAGCCTCCTATTTGAACAGATTCGCGATTGACAGTGCTCACCATATTGTGCTGGATACGGTACGTGCCTTTTCCCTTGGCAAGGGAAGTGCTGTAGCGTTAGTGGTTTGCAATACAGCATGGGGTTGCTTTATTCATAGCTGGCACTGAAAATAACGTGCAGCACTGAAATGAGGCTAAGGCTGTGTAATGAAGGACTTTCATTTTAAAACATACTACTGCATTTCTGCTGATGCTTGTAAAGCTGTACAGTGTATAAATGCTAACTTTGGATATAGGAGGTGTCTTGGTTTGTGGTGATACTTTGTACTTAGAAGTAAAAAGGTTTATGTGAGCTATTTTAAAGACTTTGTTTCATAGTGAAACTAGTGATTTGCTCCAAGCTGTTTAAAAAACTTGAATCAAGTTTGCAGAAAGATTTCTCCAGATACATGATAGACATGAGAAATTAAGAGTAAATTCTATGGGAAATACAATAGTTGCCTGTCTTCATGGGCACAGACGTGAGTAAGGAGAAGAGACTGACACGGGGAGAGAGTTAAATGAGAAGCCACAAAGTTCAGATTCATGAGGTTATGAGAGAAGAGTTACTTTCACAGCAATTAGAAGATATGCAGGGCTCAAGAGTACCTGGAGATTCTCGGTAAAAGAACAGTCTATAATTTAGAGCTGAAAGAGACCTGTATTCTTCAAGGATGAAGTTCCAGACTACAGGAGGCATCTGAGAACAAGAACTAGGAAAATGTAACGTCCTCCCCCTGTGAATACACTGCTTCCCATGGGAGTGTTGCAGATGAAAGTGCAATGGGGCAGTGTCCTGTGCTGAGCCACAATGGGTTTCATCTATCACATTCTCCTCTTGCGTGGAGTAGGTGCCACTGCTTAAAGTCAAGCTTTGTCACTGTGGTTATACTGGCATTGTCACGAGTACTTGGAAACAACAGGAAATCTAAAGAAAACTGTGAGCATTGAGATAGTGTGCAGCCACCAAATGGACATTTATAAAAGCAAACTGCATCCCACCTGTCTAATAGAAACTTATCTGACACATGCAGATTTCCTGCAATGAGTAACTCTCTCTGTGGAGCAACAGGCAGTTTTCAAGCATATTCCCTGCGGATTGCTGCTTACTGTGTAACCTTTCCTTTCCAAATCACTTAGTCTTTATGGCCTATTATATGTCAAAATAAAGATCTAACAATCAGCCTTCTAATACCAGAAATTCATTATATTGCTAGAGAATTAGCTAAGCTATTACAATTGCAAAAGACAAATCCATGTAAGTATCATATACTAGTCTTCACTTGAGAAACCTTCCAGTCAGGTTTCAGTGCCTTTGAGCCTGACAAATGGGTGTATTTTTTCATGGAGTTAAATTATACGGACAACAACATGAGGGATGGATGTTGGAACATCCAAGGAATTTTACAGTTCTTGCATCAGGTGCTCTCGTGTGTGAGATGCAGATAAGTGGGCTTTTGGCAGTTACAGTTCCTTGCTTGATGTATTATCACTAAAACAATTACAATATACCGTAACATTAGAAAGCAGGTTTGGTTTCTACTGAACATTAGCTCAGGAATTACCAGTAATTTTGAGATAGGGGAAGAGAAAGCAAATAAATTAAAAATATGTATATACATATATATATAATACATTTGTATGATGAACTACTAATTCATGAAGTGTTCAGGAGAGATCTGAACAAAAAGGCCCATATGAGCTTTTTTCTGCACAGAAACAAATGTCCTCTGGCCATTAATGCTAAAAGTACATATAGTTACTTCAGCTAGGCAGACTAAAGAAGTATTTCCTCTCTCTACTTTCTCCTCATCTCCCAGCACCAGCACTAGTGCAGAATAAAATACTACTTCTAGATAAGTGCACTTTGTTTCCTGCTTGTTTCCCCAAACTGGTCCCCTTAATGTCCACCAGAGACCTGACTTCTCTAAGGGCTGCTTTGTACCTTCAGCCAAATGATTTAAATATGAAATAGGTGAACTTCTGGGCTGAGTGGACTGCTTCAGAAGAATTTTCATTCCATGGAAATAACACAAGGTCCACCAAAATGTAGTGGAGGACATCTGTTTAGGAGTCAGTCCTGCATAGGATACAGCTGCTTTACAGTTGGTTTTAATCCAACATGAGCAAACTGGAGACCTAAATCCTGAACCTAAGAGAGCAAAGTTAACCGAAGTGGAATGTTTGTTTATGGCTGCGCGCTCACCAGTCCCATTCTCTTCTTAACTTAGGAATTGGGTAGATTGGATAGCCTTTTATGGTGCTGTCTGAAAATATTCTGAACTTTGGGGTGATATTTATTTTTTCAGTGCCCAATACCAAAAATTATCCCACAGGAGCTCAGCAAAGCAGCTTACTCATCAGGAACGTAACTTTGCTTTTCAAAAAGATAACGTGTGGTTTTGTTCAGACTTAATAATGAGATCCTTTCCAATGCAGAAGCTGTCAACAGCACTGACATACATTCACAGTTACAAAAACACATAGCCTTGTGGTTGGGGTTTTTATTAAATAGAAACCTCATTTTCTACTGTAATGAGGAAAAGACACTGTTTTCATGCCACTAGTACCTTTTGTGCTCAGTTACAGAAGCATTTTTTTTATTTTTAAACACAATATGACTGTTCAGAGGTTACAAAATGTTGCTACTTTATGCCATGACTGTTGAAGCCATGACAATATACAATAACATAAAGGAAGAATGATACCTTTGTTTCTAGTTGTCTTTTGTTGCCTTCTGCATTTTGCCTATCAATGGCACTTCATTTAAAAGCTGAAGAATGTTTATTAATGAATGATTCAAGTAATGATTTCAGTTTTGTTCCAGCAGTTTTTAAACCAAAAAACCCACAGCTTTTTTTCTTGGGGGGGGGGGTGTCCACCTTAAAAATATTAATCCCTGTTAGCTATGTCAAGTATTTGTAGTGCATCCAAATGCTATAAAAGTAACTGTGTCATTTTTCAAGGCAGTTTCTTGACTTCATAAATACAACCTTGCAAATGTGCACAGGACCTACCTCGATTCTGTGCAGTCATCCTGACTCTGCCATCAATCTGGATCTGTTAGGAAAATGGATGCTCTTTTTCTAGCAGTCTGTTCTGCTAGTCTGTCTGCAGTACTGACTGCGAGTGTGACCATTTGCTGATCACTTTAATGTCTGGAAGGTGCTAACGGCAAAGTGCTAAGTAGCCCTAGATTTCATCCAGGGAAGGAAAGGCAAAAGCAGGAGAGATAGAGGAAGGAAGGGAGATGGAGGAGTGTAAAACGAAGATGGGAAGACAAATTTGGGCTGACACAGTGGTGACCCCAAGTGCTGCTGAGGAATATGACAAAGAACTGAGCTGAAACCAAAACACTGTTGCAGATGAGGTGGGAGGCATGTCGAGCTCAAAGTGTCATGGCTGTGTTCCCATCTGTACCTTCTCTTTTGTGAAGTACCCGTATCCCTGTCCTGTCCAGTGGTGTGGTAGGTGCTGCATATCTTACCTGGCCTCCTCTCCCATGATGCTGCTAAAGCCTGTACCTGCACATCAGGTGCTGGAATGCTGAGGTGCAATGTTCAGGGCCTCCAGCATCAGAGTAAAATCCATGGGGCAGACAGGGTCCCAGAAACCCATCATGCCTGCTACGAGCCCAAGAGTAAAGAAAGACTTGATTGAAAGAGTTCATTCAAATATTGTACTTTGGGGAGGGGAGTTTGTGGGGTTTTTGGCTGTTGCTGGCTTTTCTGGTTTTATTCGTTCAGATTTTCTCTTAATCTAAGTATCGGCATTTTCCAACATTTCTCTGCAATTACTGGGGCTGGTAACTTTGGTTTTCATTAGCTGACTGCTAGGATTCTTATATAATTATATTGCTCCATGATCTGCAGCGTCCAGAAAATCACACTATATAGTGAGTCACATTAAAGCATGAGTTGCTGGCAACACACAAGACACTAGTGAGGTCAGGTGGAAGTAGCATGCATTTAATTTTCTAAGTTGTCCTTATGGTAAAAATGTTGCTTATAATAATGGCTTCTTCAGCCTTCTTAGAGACTTCTTTAGCCTTAGGTAGAGTGTGGGAAGGCCGCTGTTTTGTGCACTGGTCTTGCCTTGCAATACAAGGTAGCAAAAT